ATTTGATACATAAAATCATTTTATCCCGTGTTAGTGATGTTACTGGACTGCTCCTACACGTCGGGCGCAGCTATGCCGGGTTTTTTGTAAATTAATAAAAGTGGAATTACTTTCTATTTTTTTTTTATTTTTTAAAGACGAAAAAATTAGAATTTGAGATTAACTTACCATTTGGAAGTGTTTTCGCAGTAACTTCCTCGCAGTAGGCCCCTGTACCACGTGCTGATTGAGCAGCTACCCTGTAAATTAACTTGCATTTTGCTTTGTGATTTTTCTGGAAAACCATGACGATGCCAGAAACTTTATGATTTTGTGACAAACTGAAATCTTGATGACTGAAAGCTATGGTCCGAACTACAATCGCTATTCTGCAAAGAGTGTGACTTTGTAATTCGCACAATTTTCCCATTTTTTGAAAAACATTGTTTTCAAGAATAAAGTCTCGAGCTCGTCACTAACAGCAAAGAGCTCTCGATTAAAGTAAAAGAAGAGAAATATTAAGACCAGACTCTGGGTTGTTAAGCAGGTGAGCCAAATTATGGACTGTTATAGGTAATTTGCCCTCTCAATCTCTACCACCGAACTTGTTGTATTTCACCCATCCTCTCAATCTCTCCTCTTCCTCGAAAGGTGTGCTGCAGAAATGAAAGAGTGCCCTCTCAATCTCTGCCACTGATCGCTCTACATTTCTATCATATTCCCAGTCTCTAATACTCTCTCTTCTTTTATACTGCAGTAATAGAAGAAAAGCTGTAATTGAGAAGCGATGAAAATACAGTGCAATTAGTGGTAGGGATTGAGAGGGTTTGCGAAATATTACAGTGCTATGTAACAAACCGGTGGGCTCTACGCGCCCGCACGTGAGTGCCACACGTACGTGGGTGCTAAATTTAAAATCTTTGACTTGTATAAAAACTACGTAAACAGGTGTCATTCTTCAAGTAAACTAACTTGAACGAGTAGAGCGTATTGGGGAGTAGGCCATCAACAACATGCTTCTCAACCGGTGTTGAAAGTGTCAGTTCACGCTGGGTACCATTAGATGCGTTGAGTAGAATCGAATAACCAATGATGTTGTAGGAATGGAGCGGTCTTTCCCATGTGAGCTGAATCCGGTGCGAATCCAACGGTTTTGCTGCCAGAGCAGATGGCTGACCCGGGACTGAAAATAATGCTTTAGTATGTAGCCTTTTGTTATTAATTCTTAATTCTTTGGCTATTTGCCTCCATTCTGAGATTGGCCCATCCTTCCAATTCCATAGACCGTAAAGGACTGTTTTTATTATGGTGACCCGCTCAACAAAAAAACGAATTACAGGTAACGTCCCAGGCCCAGTTAGTTTGAGTATGTTTAAAAATGAAGGTGATGCTCAGACTGTTTTGCAGCGATTTCCCTGAGCGCAACTCTTTTAAAGGTAAAAAGCACCTTTAAAAAAATCACACCCAGGCGATCCGGTCAGAAAACTGTTACATATCAATTTATCAATTAATGATCACTAAATAATATCATTTTTAAGTATTCAATTCCAAGAAATAGCGCAGCTTTTCAACTAATAGCATCATGGGTGACGCATATATGGTGAATAAGCGATGAGTCCCAGCTGAAAGTATGCGGCCTGGGATTAATGGGCCTAGTATAGTTGTACTTAAGAACGTGGGATCTCCAGACCGATTTTCTCCAGAAAGTCTTAGTAATAGCATTTCACAAAATACTATTGAATTTAAAGTGAAAATTTGCTTGGAAATAACAGCAAAGATGATCTTTTTTTTGAAAAGTGGAATTAATTTGTATCATTCTAGAGCTATTTTTCATCAGCTTTAGCTTACGCAGCAGGAAGTAATTTATAACTTGAATTTGTTGCTTTTTGTCTGGGCAAAGACTACTCCTTGGGCCGGAAGGCCAAAAGAGCATACATGATAGATAACATGCTACCTTTGCACCTGCTTTCAATGTTTCCGAGAAAAGACAAAATTTATTAGGGGTATCTTCCAGTGACACACTCAGCAACCGATCCCCATTCCTCATAGAGCCTTAGGCAACGACTCATTGATAAACGCGTTCCTATAGCATTATTTTTTAGGAGATTCAGCGATGGCAGTTGCTAACACATTTAAGATTTAATGGTTAATCCGAAACGTCATTTTCCACCTTAACTATACTCATGTAACTATAAAGCTAGGATTTCTCCAGTCCAAATACTTCATAAGATATAGTTATTATAGCTAAAATGCAACTGCAACTGAAGTCCATGTGAAAAATTGGATCACACTGGAAAATAAGTTAAATTCAGCAATTTTCAATCTTGTAATTTTTCGACTTTCAAAATATAAAATTAGTTTGAGTTTTTATTTGGCGTAATTAAGTCAGAATGTTGAGTGTCAAGATCACCAGCAAAAAATGATCAGCAGGCGATGTAGCAATTATGAAATGTAGTAACTGGTCAAAGCAATTATGAAAACGAAAAAGTTATTAGCTGTGCAGATGGAAAACCAGCTGATCCACATCATAATGTATTTTCACTCGCATTTTTGTAAAAATCCATGGAAAAGATTTTTTGTATTTGTTGCTCTTATGAAATGCAAACATACATTATTTTTGTGTTTTGGTCAATTGCATTTCATGGTCCGGTTTTTGAACTACACAACGCGTGTGGTCGGTTACCATGACCGGTACTGCATCACCTGATGGTCAGCCTTTTGGTGATTCTAATGTTCGTTCCTTTAGAATACTTAGAAAAATGCACAGAGCTTCAGCAAAGACATAAGCCAGCTGTTATATGTTAAAGTTTTAAGCTTTCAGCAATAATTTTTATGCGTTTTTTGCAGCTATGCAATGCAGAAAACGCATGTTGACGAGGGGTTATCTATGTGTCCGTGTGCCTGTGTGTCTGTGTTGCGCCTGTCACGCATTTCATCTCAAAACCTATAAAAGTTGCGGGGCTGAAATTTCGGACACTTAATAGGCATGCACGTCCCAGCCCCAATCCCCAAAATGGGCGCTAACACCCGCGTGCGGGCCCACAAATGTTTTTTTGGGGGATGTTCATAACTCGAGGATCTGAGAAGCTAGAAAAATGAAATCTTAGGGGAATGTCCCCCGTCCAACTGGTTATTAATGCACTCAAACCGATCCCCCGGGTAAGCGTGGTACCCGCGTACGGGCCCGCCAAAATTTTTTTGGAGTGTGTTCATAACTCGGGGACATGAGAAGATAGAGCGCTGAAATCTTAGGGGAATGTTCCCCGCCCAACTGGGTATTAGTGCACTCAGACCCATCCCCTGGGTAAGCGTGGTACCCGCGCACGGGCCCGCCAAAACTTGTTTCAGTATGTTCATAACTCGGGGACGTGAGAAGCTAAAACGCTGAAATCTTAGCACAATGTTCCCCGTCCAAGTGGGTATTAGCGAGCTCAAACCCTGCCCGCGGGTAAGCGTGGCACCTACGTACGGGTCCTCGGAAGTTTCTTCCGGGTAAGCTGCTAACTCGGGAAAGTGAGAAGCTAGAAGACTGGAATTTTGAAGGGATGTTTCCTGACAGTCCTGGCGGCCAGTCTGA